GTGCTCAGCAGCTCGCATACTTTACCCACGGTGGAGGTTTACCCTGAGGGTCATATCAAGGTCGCCACATGACCCAACATCATATCTAACTTGTCTTTTGAAGCAGCAGGGACAAGTCATGGCAGCATGAACGTAGACTGTGAGCGTCCTGTGTTCACTGACGTGCTGGCTGTGGCTCAGACCGGGTCCTTAGACCCCGACAAGTGAAGTGTGAGTTTCCTGGCAGAGTAAGTGCAGAGGCAGAAATTTCATCCTTAATTCAAACTGAGAGAGGACAAGGGGCCTCTTTAACTTGTCTCCAGCTGTAGCCATCCCCAAAACCCATTTCCAACAGCAAGGATCAGCAAGCACATCTCTAAGGCAATCTGGTTTCCAGCCTTTGGTACCCTCAGAGTTTCCACTATTTTTGGATCACAGAGAGGATACCAGTGATAAACAAATAATTCCCAGTACGGCATAGCACCTATGTGATACTGCCAGTCCACGTTTTTAGGGGACCATGCTTGTGATTCTTTGGTATCATTTAACATAAACTTGACATTACGATATATTATTGATGCTGAGTTAATTTGAGTTCTGTTTAAGAAAGACTGGTTGTTCTTTTTTCTTTCTTTTTGTTTGTTTGTAACAAAATATTAAATATTTGGACTTTGAAGATATAGTTTTTCATTTTATATGTGGAGTATTTTATATATTATTATGCATGTTGCTTTACACGTGTGTTACTATATGTTTTACTTTTTTTCTGTTGAAATCATTGCAGTTTAGATTCTAATAGCTCTGCTACTTTTATGGTTTTATTAATATTTTAATTCTTTTAATAATTAATAAATAATAATATTTTAATGATTTTAATAATTATATTTTCTTAAACCTGAAATAAAGAGATAGGTGATGTGTCTGCCATTCTAAAGAAACAGGCAAGGCAGTTTTAACACTTCACTGTTCACCAAAGCTTTGTGCACTTAGTGGAAGATGACTAACTTTAATTTGTGATAAATGATTATTTTAGAAAGGAAAAAATGGAAAATTTTATTTTCAGAAAACATAAATGGTGACTTCTAGAGCACCAAGCAAGAAAGTAAAGTTTTAATTATGCTGGCTTTGCTTCTTCAAGGCGTTTGGTTTTTGTTTGACTGCCAGTGAGTGTACATGAAGTCGGAGAGCAGCTTTAACCTGTATCTCCACAGCTAACCTATTCTCAATGCGGATAAACTGGGAAATTTTGCCTAGCAATTTCTTTAGCACCAATGAAATTCAGAAGTGGACCAGGGTCACTCAGTCATAGAAGATTTCTGTATAAACACAGAAAATTAAGGTGATCTCTTTCTAAAGTAGTTTAAATTTAAAGTATACAGCAAAAAACAACGGGGGAGCCCAGATAGACTAATGAGGAGACTGTTGTATTAGGGGTCTGTTGATATGATAAAACAATTGATGCAGAAGTCGTAAAATCACTTTTGTCTCACAAAATTAATTTCTGTTTACAGAGGAACTCTTGCAACCCAAACTGTAGTAGTCCCTTGTCTTAAAAACTGTGTGCAGTGTGATTTAATTGGTCCAGGGAAGGCAGAAAAACAAAAAAAGAAAAGCTGCTGTTTACTGTACTGCATTTCAGAACACGTTTCTGGCTGAGTTTTATATGCTTGTCAGAGGTATCTATTACAATTAAAGTTGCCCTGCGGGTACATTATTTAGTTCAGGTGAATAAATGATGCTGTACCAGTTGTAGATCAATGGCTATGACCAATTAATTGTACACTGTGATATTTGCAGGCGTTAAAAAATACTGTTTTTCTGGGAGATCTCTTGAATAGGTTTCCTGTGCTTCTGTTTTAACTTCATCGTTAGAGAACCTCTTTTGGAGCAAAGAGCACAATGCATAGACTGTTATCAAACGCAAAATATGACCATGTGTGAATGCACAAATAAAGCGAGAAACGCTTGTGGAATAATTGCAGTATTTACCATGCTTTTTTGTACTGCCAGACATAACAAGTGGGAATAAATGATTTTTGTTTTAGCTGTTGCTGTGAAAAACTGGGGAGCAAATTGCTTGGGATCAAATGAAGCAGTTTATTATTCTGCTTTACAGAAGAATATACATTTCTCTATTTTCAAGTGATCTTTTGTTTCCTTTTTAATCATCGCACTGAGGTCAATTTGTTTTCCTTTTCATGAGGAGACGGGGACAGCGCACATTTGTGACTGGTTTTGGTGAATAAACTATTCATGTGCAGAATTTTTCACTGCCTGTTGGTGAAGTATCACTGTTCTGGCTCTCTATTGCTAGCCTGAACTGTACATTACATCTTTCACAACAACATGCTAAATGATTTATTTTGAAAGATCAGAAGCACTTGGTTTGGATTAGTGGAAAGAAATGTGAGCCACGACAGAGGCAGTGCTCCTGCTGGGGTCTCCTGTTGTGCTGTGGAGTGGGATATGTGGACGAAGACCCAGCGTGGCTCCATGGGAGTACAATGTGAGGAAGGAGAACCTGGTGTGACTAAGAAGCGCTGGTGTTTGAAGGCTACCACCTTTCAGTTTGATTTGTGTGTGAGTGGTTGCATCCAATGGACTTGTGCTTAAAGTTCGGATGTGATGCAAAATTAATTTTAGATGGGTCTCCATACCTGTGTACAGAAAAAAAGGACTTGCAGAAGTACTACGTAGAAGTAATCTCATCCATTTTTCAATATGAGACTAGCAGATTTATGCTGTTCTTACACTAACTAATACTAGATTTGGGGTTTTTTTCAGCTCTTTCTGAAAAAATGCCTGGGTGATACTTTCAGAATCAAGAATTCAGATTTTGTTGCCACTTATTTTGTAAAACCGCTTTAATAGGCAGGATTCAGCATAACAATCAGGATGAGTAAACTAGTTCATTATTGCTGTTGTGAATCCTGGATACGCTGTTGTTGAGGATTATGTTCGTAATACATACTCTTTACTGCTTGCTGGCAAAGGAGAAAGTGCAGACTCAGTGTCTTCACTAGCTGATCTTCAGTGACAGTAAAAGCTACGGTACTGCAGAATGAACTGACACATGTCAAGCCTGTATTTTCTGTAATGTTAAGCAGATCGGCTATGCCATTGTATGCCGGTTGACTCTACAGCATGCTTTGCGTCAAGCAGCGGCACAAGAAACATGCAAGCAATCCAGCAAGGACTTTACCATTTAATTCTTTTACAGGCCTTTCAATGATTGACAATTTTTTTCTCTGCTTCAGTACAACTTGAAGCCATTACCAAAACATTTTCGAACTATTTAGCTGCCATTCAGGGTTAAACTGTAACTGGGAAGAGCATGAGAGGAGGAAGATTTCTGCTTGCATGGTTGCAGTTTCTTTCTTTAACAAGAAGATGCAGTTTCAAATCTTAAGCTGTTTTCCTTAGACAGCACCTTGTCAGTTTGTTCTGTGTCTATGTCTGAGCATGAGGAAAAAAACTAGAGCTTGAATTTTCCCTCTCCTGTTTAGAGCCAGTTCAGCAGAGGACTTCTGGGTCCATTTTATAATTGGGCTACAGGACAGTATCCCACAGACCTGCACATTGCTCACTGCTTCCCACGATACACTCATTTGTACCTGTTGAAACAAACATAAAAGCTAGCTTTGTGGTCACTTACCTTATTTCCCCTTTGGACATATGTGATTTTGCAAGATATACAGCAGTGGAAAAGCTGGGTCAGCAGCAGTGATGAAAATATAGGATTTGATCTTTGATATGTGAGCAGGCCAACAAGTTTCCTGACCAGTGGTTGTATCGTAATCACATTGGAGACTTTTGAGAGACTCTAGTTCTGCAGTTAATCGCAGCAGTTTCAGGTAATTACTTCACAAATAGCCTTTTTAGGCTTCAAAACTACTAGTGTTATGATAAAGAAAGGCCAGAAGTGATCTCTTCTTTTGTGTCTGTTAAACAACCTATCAAGGTTTTCTACCAGTTCAGGTTATGAAGAGCTAGTCTAGCTCATTCGTCTATGCCCAAGGAGCTATACAGGTGCCTCACCTGTCCTCAGAACTGATTATGGACACATAGCCCTTTAAAAAATTTAAATTAAAATTGGAGCTGCATATTTAACATGTGTTAACTTCAAGTTTGGCAGGTATATGCTGTACACTTTCAAATAATTAAGATTATATCCTGTCATTAAAAGTTCAGTAAGTCCATGCAACAGCTTAATAAACTGTTCATTGTGCCACTAAATCTGAATCCAAGCTCTCCATTTTAACAGTGAACCAAATTCAGACACCACATCCAAACCCATAAAGTCATATTTCCCAGCCTAAACAATTAAATCTGCACAATGAAGCAATGCAAATTGTTTTCTACATAAAATTCATCCAGCCTTACAAATCTTTCAGAGGAGAAGAAAGGTTTTCTTGGCGGGGACCTAGAACTTTAATTAGTATTTAAATGTTTGTACTTAACTATAGTACTTAAATACCCAAAAAGGTATTTAAGAGGTCTGGTTGAATAAAACGTGTTATTCCTCTGTGTGCCAGGAATGATTAAGGCATGCTTAGGGGTGATATGAATGCTATCTTGTCTTTGCTTGACCTCCTTGGTGGAGCTGGATGCTCTTGTCTTTGCAAAGGATTCCAGTAAAGGGATTGTGATTTATGGTGATTTATACACATGGATCTTCTAGGAACTCAGCGGAAATCTTTCTTGTTGAATCTGAAGGTTGTTCATGTGCTGCTGTCTACAAAATGGATTCAGAATTCGGTTAATAAAAATTCTAAATATCTCTAAAATATGAGTCTGTGAACTCCCAGTGAATAATCACTTATTCTGTACTTCTGGAGAGCAAAAATATCTGTCTGTCTGAAGTTCCTTGAGCATCTTCATATTTCCCGTGTTGTGAAGCTTTCTTATTAGTGAGTTATTGAGTTTTTTGTTTTCCTTTGCCTTGAGCTAACTTTCTGTTCCAGTTGAAAGTGTCATTAGAAGTAACAAATGTTTCTTCTTTTTTTTTTCATCCCATACAGTGTGAAAGGAGCAGATGCTGGCAACGTGATCAGACTGTTTGTACCAGATATTGGGATGTTCATTGCTAGTCTGACAATATGGCTCATCTGCCGCAACATGTTTCAGAAGCCAGTAACCGAGGATGCAGCACAGTGCAACATGCAATTTGAAAATGAGGAAATGGTATCAAATACACATTTCTATCTGTACAGCTTTTAGCTAATAGTGGGCTGTTGGTATTCCTGTCTGAGATGTATCCTGAAAGGGTTTCATGAGCATTGGGTATGTTAAGAAGTGAACTTACTTTCAGGAATATTAACAATTGTTTTTAAAGTGGACAAGTTACAGTAGTCATTATCTTGAGAAAAAAAAGCAGAATATGAAAAGTAGTAGATACGCTACTGAATTTTTCAAACCATTTTGAGTTAAGAAATGATCATGACAGTCGATCACAAGTTGTTTCTTCACCAGAGCTGCTGCTTACGTCTGGCAAGGCTGTTTTGCTACATACATTACTCAGTTTCTTAGATAGCATCCGTGTTTCCAAACTTGTAATCCAAGAATAACAGCAGCATCTGAGTGATTATCAGAAATGACGCTTAGGAGAAGGGAAGAGAGACTGTGTATTACATTCATGGAAGGAGTTATCTAAAACTGTCATCATACTGAGTGAGCTTGAGGATAATTTTGGGGAATGGCTTAGCTGGAAGTGTTGGTGCGTTAGCTGTGCATTTTACTAGTGAGAAGAAAAATGGCAGAGATACCAAATGCAGAAAAATCTACAGCAAGGGGAACAATTTTATAATATAAGAAGCTGCAGTGGGAATTTAGCCCAGGGTGCAGAGAAATTCCTACTACTAATCTTAACATGTTTTTTATCAGACCGTCTAGCATGCCTTGGGTCTCATTTTCTGTCTTGTTTTACATATGGGTGTAAAGTTTTTTCTTTATGCTCAAAACTCCATTTTTAGGGGAGGCAGTTGCAACTTGCTCATATCAAATAGATATTGCACTTTGAAGTGGGTGAAGTATTTAGGGGAATCAGCTGCCCATTTTGGTACCACTATAGAGAGGAAAAGAAGCCTCTCTGCGTGTTACCATGTTGTCTGGATTGTGGTATTGCCAGACGCTGGTCGAGTTTCTAGCACAAGAGAGATCAGTATCAGGACTGTGCTTTATATGCAGTCGCTTGTAATTCTGTCAGGCTCTCCTGGCAGCTGAGGATTGCCTGAAGATCGCAGGCTGTAACTACACATTGGAGGATACGTAGGCCTCAGTCTGATGAGCGTAGTCACGGTTTTGCTCTGTCTCCTGGAAACTGGTTTTATCAGGTTTAAATTTGCTTTATCGTTGGAGCTGTGTAGAATGGATTTAGCAGCGGACTAGAATCTGGGACTGTACCCATAAGGGGAGATGTCTGAAGTATTAAGAATTGTGACTAAATGACATGTTTCATGTTCAGCTCATCTCTCTTTTTTAAAAGAGTTGCATTTTACCAAAGTGGGCTCTGACAGACTTCTTTGAAGAACAGAGTGTAGCTTTAAATTGGGTTGGTCCTAGAGTGGCTACCTCAAGGCAATCCAGCAATGCAACTAAACGGGCCAGAATATTCCACAAAGGAAGAGCATGGGGAGAGGAAATATAAAATTTTTACTGCAAAGAAATATTGATACTGAACAAATGAAAATCTGCGTAAATATATTTAACTTCTTCACATCAAAACCCAGGAAATATTATTTATGTTCTGTAAATGGTGTGTATTATAGGTTATCTAGTGAACTCAGAAGCTGCATTTTTATTTCATGACACCCAAAACTCACAGGAAAGTTTTTAAAAAAGGGATAAAGGTTACTGTTATGTGAGGTGAACCCCAATGCTTTAAGGAATTGTGATTTTCACGGCTGAAATGGTGAATTTGCATCAGAATAACCAGCTTATTTTTCAAAGATGGAGTGAAATGGAGAGTGGAAAATTAAATACCTATTAAACATTTTTTTCCAACTTCAGCTATCTCTTTGTAGGTGTCTGCACATAACATCCTGGAATAATTTCTGCTAGTTAGGAGAAGGCTGCAGAAGCAGCTGAATCTGCTAAGAATATGGATTTGGCAGGACTGACTGTAAAGAACCTAATACATATGCAGAGCATGCAGCTGAGTGTCTGAATTTGGGAGAATATTGGCATGATCTAAAATGAGTCCAAACTGTGGGTTTCACATAATTTTCATTTCTTGCTTGGTAGAGTCCACTGGAAAAGGGAAAAATAAGTAAGTGATCAATTCTTTGAATTCTGCATTAGCTGACTGATTTGTGTGGCTGTGTGTTGGTGCAGCTCTACTGATGCTGTAACTCCAACGAATTAGAAAATGCAAAATGAGTTGCAGCAATAACTGCCCTACAAATAAATGCTTCAGGAGAACTGTTGAGCTTGGTACTGTGCCTCCAAGGGAAATAGTTCTGGGTATGTTAGACCAGCCCCGTAGCCAGTTTCAGAATTAAAGAGCTTTTGCTGAGAGTCCCTGCCGCCAGTCCTCAGGGACTCATGGTACTAGATTTTGTTAAGAATGTGTCAGCTGATTTGAACAGGCTCAACAGAGCCAAAAGAGAGGTGACTTTTCAGATCACTAGATGCCTAGCCACAGGTGGCTCTGTAAATCAGGAAATCAACACCATGACTTCCAGGCAAAAGCAGAGAGTTTGTCTTGCAGCTTTACCTTTTTGCATAAAATTATTTACTTTAGAGTGATTCTTAGACCTCTGCTCTGGGGAAGAGTGAAATGCTCTGGGACTAGGCTTAATTAAAAAAAGAAAGGTTAATCTATCTACTGCTTCCAAAATTTATGTGTAAGAAAACCTGTTAAATAATTGGTTTAATACTTCTAAAGATAACATTTTCAAAGCTCTGTGTGAATCCATCACATTTCAGTTGTTATATGGACATGCTGAAAAAAAGCCTGGAGTTGAGTGGCAGTTTGTGATACTCAAGTTTTGTGCTGTACTTCATCATGGCAGTAGCCTCCAGAAGCCAGCTGTAGAGTACAATGGATCAGATTGCCCATGGATTTGAGATGAAATTCAAAATGAGAAAAAGTGTCAGAATCCAAATTAAGGACAACAAGGACTCATTGAAAAATGGATGTCCTTCTTCATTACACTACATCCAACTTTAAGGGAAACAGATGTCCATCAGAAAAGTGTATTCTACAGAACCGAACTGGGGGAGGAGGCTGTAAGGCAGTGAGTGACTCTCAATTATTTGTAAGTAATGCTATCCCAGGAATAAGCAAAGAGTGTGGTTTTAATTAACAGTGAGTCATGAAGTAGGAAGGTCTGCCAGATACCAGGCTGCAGTCCAACTCATTACCACCCCTAAATGGTTGCACACTTGGAGCAAACGTGTCTGCAGACCTTTTTTATTAGGGCTCAGAAAATTTAAAGCAGGTGAATTCAGCTGGAGACAGGCCTGGATTGCAAATGCCGAAAAGCACAATGCCAGTCACAAGGTGTAAAAGGTGGAAGAAAATAAGAAAGAACAGTTAACTCCCAGCTGGAGCTGAAAGTTACGGCAGTTTTGGTGCAGATGGTGGTTTATATGCCAAAATGCAGATACAGTATATACAGTCTGATAAGTATGAAAAAGGACATAGTTTTTTCTTGAGACTGAAGATGAATTGCCTAATATTGCAAGTGACAGTGAGGGGGAGGAAAATCCTTCTGAGATTGCACTACCTAAACTTCCGAAGAGGTGTTGATCTTAATTGAAGTATACAGTTGTAGTCTTCAATGCAACTTCCTCCCACATCACTTGCTGCCTTGCTTGTTTCTCATCCACGCTCTTCTAGAAAGCAAAGGGGACCACTGGGTCAGTATTTTGTCCCATAACCTGAACAAAACTTGATCCCAGAGCCCCTGCCCCTCCTCTTTTCTGTGGAAGGCAGAGATTTGTTTGGGATCTTAAAAAGGAGAAAAAAAAAAAAAAAGGAAATTGTTTTAAAATAAGCTAAGGTTTGAGAAGAATGTGAGGAGAGCTTGGCTTGGAGTCAAGATACTTTACTGGAATCAGGAGGACCAGCATGGTTCTCACTTTGGCTACAAACTTGGTTTGTGTCCTCAAGCCTATTACTTCATCTGTCTTTCAGCTTCTATGTCACTTGGCAAACAGCAACCGGCCTAATGCTCAGTTGCCTAGCTTTGTCTTTCTAAACAGTGACAGGGCTGTTTGTCCTACGCCTACATTGAGCACGTAGTACATGGAGAGCTCTCTTTTGGTCCAGGTCTCCAAGTGTGACTGCAAAAAAACACACAGGACAGAGTAGATGGATAGGCTCTGAGAGCTACACACAACTTGTGACTTGTCCAGGGACTTCCTAGTCTAGAAATTGCCCATTTGGATGAGTACCCTGATCCTAGAAGTAGTTGGTACCTGCTGGATAAGGACAATAAGCAAGTAAGAGAAGACCTTTTTTCCCCCCTCTCCAACACTACAATTTATCCTGGTGTCTCCTAGTGAGAAACTGGCTTTAATCCCAAAACATGTGGTTTCAAATCCCTTCCAAAAAGTGTTGTTAATTATAGCTACTCTGAATAATCTTGTTAAACATATAATTATCCAGACCCTTTTAAAACCTCATTAACTTCTTGGCTTCAGTGGCATCACGAAGCAAGGACTTCCACTATTTAATAAGTGCTCTCTGATTTTATTTTAAATGTAACTCCCTTTAATTTTATGGAAGGTCACTTGTATTCCATGTTATAAACCAGAGTAAGATGGTATACGGGAAATCAAATATATTTATTATCTTGCATATTTGACATTTTAAAGTTGAGCAGCCCCTGTTCTTTTTTCCGCTTCTTTTGTTTCCATCATTTTTTCTGAACCAGCTATAGTTCTGCAATATTCTCTTGAATTATAGGGAATATCAGTTCCTCAGCACTTTAGGGAAGGTCTTACTGATAGTTTGAATGATGGTATTAGGAGGTTCGTTTTTAGATTCAGGGATTGTTGGGTTGGAAAATTCTACTAGTGTATCACCTACCTAGGCCTGTAAAATATGGATAATTAGTTCAGCTTAGGGCACAGCTCCAAGCAAGATCTGATGTCCCAGTCCTTGTAGTTGTTAACACCTTGTCAATTTTCTTGCCTTCAGACATGGAGATCTCCTTTGAGCTGTTTACAGTGGTGCC